GGGGGATATCTCCTCCTAGCGTGCGCACCTTACACCAAAATTAAACTTCTTATATAGAGCTTACACATGCATAAACAAATTATTTCCCGAAAATCATTAGCATATTCTTCTCCTATTTCCGATTCTGCGCAATAAAATTTAGAATCATCTGGAAATGAGTCTGGGGTATAATATGGGTAGGTGGTCTATGAGTCGGTGGTCGCGATCTCCCCCTGCCGGAATTACATTTTGCTTAAGTTCACAGTTTCTGGTAATTACCTCATGGTTTCTTGGCAAGTACCCATAACTCGTTAAGGCTGGCCTTCTTCATTCTCATTAACCCAAACCTTGATAGCTACATGCATTCTTCTAGTTCTATGTAAGTATCATAAATCAATTGGTAGGTCAACTTGTACTCGTTATCTACTTTCTACATGATTCTAACTTATCCCTTTGGTCTTGGTACAGGATTATACAAAGGCTTTCATAGCAGCATCTGGTTACTGTACGAGCATACTTTTCATTGAAATATTTCTTATAGCTTTATATTATTAAAATCAATTGCAACCTATATTAATCACAAACTATTGATTAAATTCTAATTACTAAAATTCTAGGTATCAGTAACATGACTACAAAAACAAAGCAAACTTTTTGTTTGGACTACAGTGTGTAAAACTCAGCTGTGCAAGTGAAAAGTTCATGAAGTTACCACCAGCTGTGTATGGATGTATATATATGTGTATGCATACATACACGCACAAAGCCTTTGACTTAGCAGCTAAATTCTCTCCTTCATCTCATTCTCTCCTTCATCTCATTTGGTTTCAACTAAGGACAGTAGGAATTAATTACATGCTGACTGAATGTAAACTTACCAGAAAGAAAAATAGCATTTGATCTGCCTTTAGGTATCTCTGTAGTATTTACTAATAAGAACTTTATTGTTTTACCTGATATATTGAAAAAACCCTAAACATGTTCCCTGCCTTCCCCCCGCCAAACTGTAGATGTTACCTTGCAAAGAGCAAATGCTAGAAACAAATGATATAAAAGAAAAGTGAGTAGATGAGATAATTTTTAAAAGGACACTTTGTACAGTAGCAGCAGCCTCAGTTTTATATTTCCCTAGACACTGACAGATGGTGTAAGTCTGTAAGCATTAACAGCAGAATGGTTAAAAATATCTGAAAGAACATGAATTGATTTTGTTTATGTAAAAAGAAAGCAACAAAGACATTTAAGGAGAAGCTGACTATTGGACAGCAAATACTAGAAATGCAAAATAGAACAAAACCATTTAACAGGAACATCATTGTCTCTTGCAGGGCCACTCTGTAGCCCAGGAGCCTCATTCTACCTAGGGGACAATACAATTTGCCTCACATCCACTCACAGAGGTAACTGAGGAGAAGACAGAGTTGACTGTATCAGAAAAACCCAGCCACCCTCCATTTCAGAGCTTTGCAGTTCACCACTCTTCCTCTTGATCACATTTCTGCACATTCTTTGCAATTCTGCTCAAACACAATAAATCCAATGCTCCCAGGAAGCCTACTATTTGTGTGCAGTGAAAGAACATACTACCTGCAACCCTTTCCAAAAATCAAGAAAACAGCCCACAATATAAAAATAATCAAATGCTACTCCTCTAGTGCACAAGGCACTCTGCTTTGCTATGATGTACCTAACTTCTTGTCTTGCACATAACATATTTGCAGAACTAAAACAGAACAAGAGAGGATGAAGACATTCTTAGCATCTTGAAAAGAGAAGACTTCGAGGGGAGCCTTGAAAAGAGAAGACTTCGGGGGGACCTAATAGCTGCCTTCCAATACCTGAAGGGAACCTACAGGAAGGCTGCGGAGGGACTTTTTACAAGAGCGTCCACTGATAGGACAAGGGGAAATGGGTTTAAGTTGAAGGAGAACAGATTTAGATTAGATTTTAGGAAGAAATTCTTCAGTACGAGGGTGGTGAGACTTTGGAATAGATTGCCCAGAGAAGTTGTGGATGCCCCCTCCCTGGAGGTGTTCAAGGCCAGGTTGGACGGAGCCTTGAGTAGCCTGATCTAGTTGAGAGGCGTCCCTGCCCATGACAGGGAGGTTGGATTAGATGATCTCTAAGGTCCCTTCCAGCCTATGCCATTCTATGATTCTATGATCTACAGTGATTTGGAAAATCATCAAGACTAATTCCTTAGACACAAAAGTCATCAACTAAAAGACTCAACTATGTTATGCAAATTAGAGACAGGTTCTACCATATGCTTTCAGAGAAGATCAGCCAGGAAGGTACTCTGAAAACCCCAACGTCTTTTGTATGATGTGAAACAGAGCCTGAAATTAACCCACAAAATAGAAGAAGTTGGAATGGACATGTCCAAGTCATGACACTATCCTAGATCTTTTAAAGTTTCCACTCAATGCAAGAAGAAAGTAAAACAACCACTACCACAAACATTGACTAGAGAGAGCCAAGGAAAGCTTGGCATAGGTGTGGGCACCTTCCTAACAAGGACAAGCGTTCCCTGTCTGTTTCTGGTCATCAAGCGTCAGCAGATCACACTTAGCATCAAGACATGAAAGACTAACAGCAAATCGCACTGGGCTGGAGCAATGGGAATAACTGAAAAAGGCCTATTCCCTCGCTGCCTATAAACCCATGTGAAGTCACAACAGTGAAACCAAGGATTTTGTTTAAGACTTTAGAAATAAAAAGATGCATCAGATACATAGACTTGGATTTGGACATGGATTTTATAACTGGGGAAAATCAATTTTTTAATCCAGCAGCAAGCTAAAAGACACTTTTCAGAAAGATCCAGGAATTATTTAGTTGTGAAACAAAAATCCATCCAGTTTCACGTATGGAGGACAAGTGAAGACGTTCAAGACTGTGCAGCCTCCTAGAGTTCCTGAGGGCTTATCTACTTTTTCAAAGGCACCTCAAACAAAGATGTAACAAACAAACAAAAAGGATCCTAGGAAGATTTTTTTTTTTTTAATCCTACCTTGTTCATGGACTGGACTAAAGCCAGAAGTTCTTACAACTTTTCTATAAAATCTTAGTCTAGTATCTCATTCTCAGATTGAATTTAAATCCAGTTCACAAGTATAATTAGTGGGATTAAAGGACTCTGCTCCTGCTCATGTAGGAAGAAAAAAAAATAATTTTCTAACCAAACAAATATTTAAAAGTTATTTGGTTTTAAAATAGATTCCACCTGAGATGAATTCAGTAGCTTCCAATCTTCTTTTAGCAGAGCCCTTGTTTGAGAAAATTGGCAACATTCTGGACTTGATTGGATTCTGTGGAGTCTTTGGTTCCAGTTCACACTTTAAAAATATGCTTGCACTTCATTATGAGAAGTGTTTGACTAGAAACAATCTATATAATAAACAACAGTCACTGTTTTACCATGTTATTGTCACTTGTATATATAGTACACACTTTCAAATCATTAACACCATATTCTAAGGATTTCATCTTCTGAAGTAGCTTTAGAAGCTTTCAAAAGCATCCAGAATGCAGAAATGGTTCAACACAGAATTATTCAACAAAGGTTTTGTAATATAATCTATGAAAAGTTTGAAAGCTATTTACAAAATATTGCTATTAAATACTTACAATATCCTCTATTATCTCCTTCACTGCAGCAACAGCTAAAATAAATAAGAGGGGAACCAATGTTGTGTAACGGCCGGTTGGTGATACATCTGGTATTTGCTATTAGAAAAAAAGAAAAAGATAGAAAAAAATTGTTTGCATTGCTGGCTGAAACATATTTTTAATACAAGAAGCAGTACATTCTGTGCAAATATAGACAAGGCAACTGGATTCACTACATGGTGCTGATTATTTCTGAGAGGGTTATTGTCTTCAATTCAAAAGAAGCTGATACAATAAAACAACACTTGCATTTTAAATAGCACAGTATTCAGTGGAGTTACTTTCAGAGGTTTTTTTAGTGTCTGGAGAATATTTACTCTCCTTTTCTGTGTTTCAAATTAAATAAAAATACATATTTACAAAATACAATTAATTTTTTCAGTTTAGATTTTTGTTAGAGTGGACACAAGTCCAAGGTATTTTTACTTCCTTACAGTTTTAACCTATAAGAGGTATTTTGTATTCTACTAGTTATTAATTGACAAATTTCAAATAGTTGCTGTCTGTCAGACTATTGTAAGAAACTCATTTTTGCTAAGCAGGTAAGGGCATAGATGATGCAAGTGAACATGTATGTAAAGTAAATGCTGAGAAAATGCAGCTACTTATATGATATACATGGATGACTATTCATAATTATCTTTATATTGGCCGGAGTTGTTAACGGCAACATTGATAGGTGAAAGGACTGCTGCCTTAACAGACTTGTAATAGGCGATGCAGCCCATAGGACTACAATGAGATTTCTGCAAGAAAAGAGTACGCTAATAAATGGTGCCTCAATGTGGTTAGCAGACATCCTCAATTTATCACAAAATGTTTTGAAAAACAGCCAATGTTATTTATGAATTATACACATTTCTTTTTGCTTCCATCGTGTTGTGCATCTGAAAGAAAACAGGATGTTATATGTATGTATGCTATGTTTCTTGGCATAAGATCAATTTAGATCTATTTTCCAGGTTAGACCACATTTTTCAAGCAATTATGTGGAAACCAGGCAGAAGGTTACTGTTGGGCAAGCCATATGTGTTGGCTAGAAGGGAAAGGGGTCTATGGCTTTTCCAGCTATTCCCACCTTTTCATTCCTCCCTACATGTATGCTCAAACTCCCCCATTCCAATTACACATTATTTTCCAGGCAAAACATGACAGCAATAGCGGCACCAGCCTGTACCTTGGTTCCATTACCCCATATTTCTTACTCCTGCCACTGTGGTCTCACTGATAGCCTGATAGGAGATGGGGTACTTTTAAGTCCTAACGTTCCACTTCCTAACGTTCCAGTTCCTCCACCCCAAGCACCTACCTGACAGCACCTCCTCTCACCCAGTCATGCCAAGCCTCAAACAGCTTCTGAAACCTCACATTCCGTGTCACTAGCTTGACACGCACCGTGGCACCAGAAGAAATGCTGCTGGACCACTGTATTAGCCAGAGATGCTAGATGGGGTCAAAAGGCTGTTTATTGAGAAGCCATAGGTTTGCAGGCAGACAACCTAATGAAACTCTGAACTTCAGATTTTTTTACCCCTAGAAAACAGTGTAAGCTACCTGTGCAGATATATCCTAAGGAACTGCTCAAAATACAGCGGAAGCAAAGAAACCTGAGTAAGTACAGAGGAAACAAACTTCACATGCTGAAATATCTGAAGTGAGGGAGGAAAAAGTACACATGGCAGTATATATGCCACTATTTTAGTAATATTTGTATGATATGTCAATTACTAACACAGTGACCTCCACAACAGAAAAATCAATACATTCTAAAACATGTATTAGAAATTATGCAGAAAACATGTGTTTAGCAAATGTGATTAGAATACAGAACTAGTCAATGGTAATTATCACTGCACTTGCCCACAGTTCAATTTTCATTCATTATCAGCTATTGCATTCACAGAATAGTATACAAAACTCCACAATCCGCTTTATCAACTTGAACTACTGCAGAATAAAAATTCTGATGTATCTGCAAGATGTTATGTACTTCTTCAAAAAAGCCTCAGTAAGCTGGGTCAGGGATAGCCCTTTACAAACATACTGAATGAGGCTACAGTGGTGGTATAGAAAAGACTGTGTGCTTTATTACTAACCAGCACAGTTAACCAGCTGAGATATGGCAAATAGCTGCTGTAGTACCGGACACTACTGCTGGTTTTCTTCATCTAGGCTCAACTTCAAGGATTCATCCTTATCAGCTTCACTCTAAGAATAAATAATCACTTCTTCTCAGCTGCAGTTCCTACCCCCCAAAACAGACTACAGAATTAAAGTTCATAACATCCAGGTTTTTAGGCAGTACTCTCTATTACAAGAATACCAACTACAGGTAACATTTCTTTGTCTATGCTGGGTATTTTTAAAAGGGATTTTCCTGTCACAACAGTCTTTTTCACCTGACAGTACTTCAGGTATACTTAACCTGTTTTACAGAAAAAGCTTTGTGTGTATTGTGTTATTTCCAAGAAGTAAAAAACCCACAAATCCAAACATTTACTAAAGGTACATCTACGCAATATAGTTATTCTGAGAGGCTAACTAGCTCGGATTGATACACCAACCTCAGTATCCCTGCGAAACACTGTCTATGCTATAAATGTTCTCTCAACAAGTTTCAAACATTAGCATCTTACTGTTGATCTTACCTGAAGTAATGCAATAAAAAGAAAAAACGCATTAGCAGCTCTTCTGAACTGGGAATAAAGGAACCTTGGCAGGAACGTGATTATGTTGTACTTTGCAGTGCTGAAAGAAAGAGACAAAAACAGGCGCTATTATTACAAAAAAATTCTTCCAATGTATTCCTTCCCTCTCAGTTACACAAGCTTTCAAATAAAACAGAAGCTTTTGTGACTTCTGTGCTGGTGATCAGATTTGTTTTGGCTAAAAGAGAAACTGGAAGACTTCTACAGGCGCAGTCCCGCTGGCCCAGAGCAGTACCCTGCCCCGCACGCTATGGCACATGCTGGGCGGGTAACGCTGCACAACGGCTCCAGTTCGCACAAAATTCTTGGGGAAAGAGAACAACGAGCTTAACGGGGAGGGTATTAAATCAGGACTGAAGAGCTGTGGAGCTTCTGCATTGAGTATTGAGCTTGCGCAATGCAATGCCAAAAACCCAACAAGAGATCAACTGAATTGAAATGGTGTGTTTAAGAAATAATTAAAATCATAAAAATCTGTTAAAAGATAAAACCTTATACCTGTACGGAAAGTTCACTTTTTTATTTTAAACTGATAAATATTGGATATTTTGTAGTTTTGCTAGGCTAGAAGAACAGAATACATCTTATCTCAGTGTAATAATCTCTGCTAAGCTGTCTACACAAAAAGAACTCCCAGCTCTTCATCAGCCTTACATTTGTTTAAGAACAGAATGCTACCAAAGGTCCTAAAACAGGAAAATAATCATGACAAAAACTTACAAGTAGAAGACTTGAAAGAATACTTTAACCTCTTTTTATGTTAGTAATATTTACTTTGACTTCACGTAAAAGTCAATTTAAAGGGTGAACAAACGTATCCTACAAAAAAGCTCAACAATGTCAAGGCAAAAAGCAAAAGACATAAAAGACAAGTTGCATACACAAACAAAAAGCATTATAAAGTTTTTTAAGTCCATGGAAAAATCTCACCATATTATTCTCAATGTCTATAAAATTCTGCATATCATAAAAGGTAGCTTCAGAAAGCACACCTACTTGGGACATGGATATCTTTGCCATTCATTTACTTTGAGTTTTAACAACAGAACTGAGGATGTTGTCAGATCTAAACACATATTACTGATGAGTGTTCAGTGTATTACTTAAAATTTAACAAAAATAAACAAAAAATCACAACACAAACCATCAGCAGAGTCCTAAAGCCTGAACTTGAAATTTAAAACTAGTTTCATAAGCAACCATAGCATCTTTGTAGCTGGCTGACTGAAAAAGACAAGAGTTTCCAAAGCACAAACAATGCCATGCTCAAGTGAAGTACATTTGCATTGGCATCCAGCTGCCAGAAATATGTTCAAAGATGAATTGCACTTCAACTGAACTGAAAGCTGAAGAACAAATCCATACTGTAGGGACATGCTGATGGTGCAGGTGTAAAGCATCCATACCTTCCTCGCCCTATTCTTAAAAACTTGGAAGGTCAGGTTTGTAACTGAAACAGCTCTGCGGCTCTCTGTATTTCACTTCATTCCAGAGTCGGAGACTGTAACTTGTAGTCAGAGGTAACGGCAGAAGTGGAATAAACAGAATATTTTCTTCATTTTTGCTACGCAACATGCAATGTTCTGAAATTAAATACATATTAACAAAAACACTAGTTAATACCTGACATGGTTATTGCAGAATTTGGTTAGCTGGGGCTGATTGATGAATATAGTTCTCAGTTCCTCTTGATCAGCTAGAGAAGTTTTCTCTGAAACATCATCTGTCTTCTCATAGCCTGTAAAAACACAGCATGGTTTTCCATACAAATAGACTTATATGCACACGTACACGAGATTCAAGGCACTTCATGACAAAAAAAGACATCTATTGTGAATGTGAACTCCATGCATTTGCATTTCTCGCAAGTAATGATAATTTAAAAACCAAAAAAGTATATAGTCAAGAAGCTTTGTAAAGCTATGATAATGAGTAACTGTAAAATCTACTGAATTCATGAGTACACTTAAACAGCTCATGCTGCTGCTTCGTGGCAATATGAAATGAATTATTGTCTGTTAATGCATTTGCACCCAGAAGGGAGCATAATAAAAAAAAAAAAAGGGGGGGGGGGGGAAGGGGGAAGGTCAGTCTCATCCATTTCTCTCAGCAGAGTGATCTTGAGTTGAAAATCTGCAAAATTGCAGAAATTACTTCCAGTAGTGAGGCAAATAAATATTTAAAAAGGAATACACCAAGAGAAATATATTAACATTAACATAAGATAAAGGCAAGAAGTTCAAGAATATACCAGTAATATCAGTAGTTCTAAGCAACATGTAATGAAAAATATAGTTACCTGATAAATAGGAAGCATTAAAAACTCAAAAGATCTCTATATTGTATACAGATCATTCAACAGTTTTGAGTTTTGCATGTAGAATTTAATATTGGTCACAGCCGAATTTAAAGGAAAATCAAATATTTACAGGCACATTTACTATAATCTTTATACAATTAATTCCATACTCCTAAATTTATTTTCCTACACTATATCTACCCGATACACACATAACACACTTTCCTCTTTGTGCTTCTTTTAAACTAGTGTTACACACACACACCCCTGTAGTAGTGTAACAATTTAGAGTTTGCAAAAGAACACAAACAGGTAAATTTCTTATAAAAACTTTGTGAAAATTTAACCAGTAATCTCAATGCTAGAAAAATAATACACAAAGAAGATGTCTGAACAATGAAATTAAATACAAAAAGTATGTCTAGTACAGCTGTCTTAAATCAAGATGGCTAATCCTATTTATCTGCACAAATCACCTGTTCTGAGAAATACTCACAGAAGAGTAATTGTCACAATTAAAACTAAGCAAATACAAAAAACTAATGTAATCTATCCTACAGTGAGCTTGATTATATTCTTCCAGTCCTCAGGAAATCCCCTCCCCCTAGATCATCATGACCTTTCAAAGATAACAGAGTGGCCTAACAGTGAGACCTGCCATCTCCCTTTGTGCTCTGGAATGCATCTGATCAGATCCCATGGACTCGTGTCTTCCCAGTTTGTTTAAGTGTTCCCTAACCTGCTTCTCCTCCACCAAGGTAAGTCTTTCTTGCTTCAGATTTTCCAACTGCTATCAGCAACCTGTGGTTCCTGAAGGTTGATCTTATCGGTAGAGACCAAAGTGGAGAAGACTATATACTGCATCCTTTTCCATGTACTTTGTCTCCAGGTTCCTTACCCCATTCAGCAGGCAGGACCACATTTCCCTTAGTCATCTTTCTGCTGCTACATCTGAAGAAGAACAAGAAGGGCTTCTACAAGCCCCTCATTGGATTAAACCCCAGGTGGGCTTTGGCTTTGCTAGCTAACCCCGTTCCCTCTGTACTACTCTCCATTCACCTATCCCTGCTTTCACCTCTTGTACGTTCCCTTCTTACACTTGAGTTTTGTCAGGGGCTCCTTGTTAATTCATGCAGTCCTACTGCCACCTCTGCTTGATTTCTTGCTCATTGTTATAGACCAGCCTTGAGCTGGAAGGACGTGATCCTTGGAAGCCAAAGCCACTAATCATTCATTGGTTAATGGGATACCACTCCTTCACCTGCTACAAGTATTCTGCATGATGCTAGCCAGACTACTCGCAGAGAAGTGACATCAGTACATTCTTCTTTTTGTGTGTGCTTAACTTGAAAAGGTATTACTAGACTTACTGACAACCCCAGCACCTGCTTCCACTAGTCTGTGAAAGCTGAGCTTTGTATATATTCTTCCATAAACTATGAAGAATCTTGCACCAACCTGCATCACAACTTTCATCTGTAAAAGGGGATACCAATGTATTCTTCTCTTTCAAGACTTTTCACTAATATTTTGTCAACCACTCAGCCATTATGTCGATGATAAACAAGCCTAAGCAGTCTATTTAGGCTGAAGCTTGTATAGTAAACACAGGTATGGCATAAATCATAGAATCATAGAATCATCTGGTTGGAAGAGACCCTCAAGATCATCGAGTCCAACCATTCACCCTGCACTGTCAGGGTCCCTAAACCATGTTCCTCAACACCAAATCTACACGGTCTTTAAACACCTCCAGGGATGGGGACTCCACCACCTCCCTGGGCAGCCTGTTCCAATACTTCACAACCCTCTCTGTAAAGAAATTTTTCCAGATATCTAACTTAATATGTAGCTGTAGAGAAGAGATCTCCTTGACATTCTGTATTCATGTGTCCGGGACAACTCTGTGGGTAGCTGCGATACGTGGGGCACCCAGTTCATGTAAGTCCTGTGGCTAAATCTCAATATGTCTTGCCAGAGGGAGAGGTCTGGAAAAAAAGGACCTGGTCTTGAAGGTCGAGGGATCTTGTTGCTCTTCCTAAGGGAAAACGATCCTACCACATGAGCCCAGGGCACAGGGTCTGAGCCCAGGGGCTGGAAGTGGCCAGAGGTGCCGGGGGAGTCTGGCCTGTGGAGCAGGAAAGCGCAGGAGAACCACTGCAGCTTTGTGCCAGGGTGCGCTGGCACGGGAGGGCTTACACCAGCGTGTAAAGGAGAAAAGGAAGTACTGCACAGCTTTTTCTTTCCCAATCAATTACCAGAAAGTTTTAAAATGGTAACAATAACCTGTGTGTTTATAACCACTTGTTAAATAAGTACTGTTCATTCTGTATAGCAAATAAGAAAGATACACAGAGAAAATTATGTTAGAATGCAACTGAATACATCAGAATGCGTATGCAGGTCAAGGATAATAACGGCTGTACATGATTACTTAAAGCTTATTTCTAGCACGATCTATAAATCCTTACAAACAGGTTATGCAAAATCCAAGTCGTCCTCCAGTCCACTGGCCCACTACGTAGCCTCTTATATATTATATCCAGAACATATATTTCAGACACTACTTTGCACATATTGTGCAAAGACTCAGCAGAAACATGTAATTTCATGCCATTTGCCAGTCAGAACTCACAGATTCTATTACTATGCAGGAAATCCCCACTACTACATTCATCCACTGCAATTTCTCTATTTCTTTCCTTCCAAATCCCCTGATGAAAGGCACACATCCAACAGGCTTCTATTCAAACTTCATTACGTATCTCAAGAAGACCTTTCAGAGGAAGGGCAGCCAACCTAACAGACTGGGCCCACCTGAACGAGCGTCCACACAATACTCCTCGACTCAAGAAACCACACAGACACATGCGGCAAACTAAGCAAGCCATTTCCTACTCAATGTCATTATCTCTCCTTGGGGTGACAACCATCATTCAACTAGCTATGTATGACCTCTACCACACAACTCCATAAATATATATCCTATACATATCAGAACTGAATGTACGTGCATCTCTAAGACGACTAGGTTTTCAGTCAAGCTGCAGGTGCACATCCAAGCATATGTTTATACCTGGCTGAGCTCAAATCCATCACATGGCGAGCGCACCTTGATTCTGCGTATAGGACATTTACTTTCCAGTTGCTCAATGAAAGAACAAACACAAAATATGGCTCCTGTGAGAGCACTGGGGTGGAAAAGTTGGAAAGTATTGAGTCAAAAGTACCAATCCAGCCTGACTACGTTCCAGAAATAAGGAAAGAGTTTGCACATCTGTGGAACGTACTACTTTAATTTTAAAGGATTCATTTAAAAACTTACACCAGTATGAGCCTTGAATAGAGTTAAAGCAAATGCTACCAGGCATTAAACACTATGTACTACCCATTTGTTAAAAAGGCTGCCACCCTAGAGACATTTATTTTCATATATCAGTATTATGACATTTATTTGGTCTCCTTTAATCAAAGTGACAGCAACAGGTGCTCAGGAGCTTCATAAACATTGATCACCTCACTTCCTACTACCTTAACTTTTTGCAATTTTCACTTAAAAAGCAATCATAGAACTTAAGTTCTGAGCATCACATGTAGCCCTCTATACTCTGCAGCTTCAGTAAAATCAGCTCTCCTGCCCTAGATGCATTATACTACCCTGAAAGCTTTAAAGGTTACACATGTCCCATCATCTCCCTGCCTGAACTTTAGAATACATATACTTAGAGTGCACAGACTAGACTGATACACAAAGCTCAGTATCAAAGAGGTACAATTTTTATTCCCTGTTTGTGTGCGTTTGTCTGTATGTGTACACAAAAAATCTAAAAGCTTATGTGTTACTGAAGTTACTGTATTGTCTTGAGTGGTAAATATAAATATATGCTTGTTTGTTCGTCATACCAAGCTATCAGAAAAGCATTGTTCCAGGGCTTAAAATTAAAAGTAGCATCAATCTTTTTGGCCTAAAGGCCACAGCAATTTAAAGTCACAACAAATTGTGAAGTACCTCTTAGTAATAACTTTGAAATTATTATCCAGCAAGCGTAAAACAGCAACTACCACATTTCAGACAGGAACTGTGATGCTGTACCAGTAAGATCTGCCATACAGAAAGAAATATGAATATATTCCAAGACTTTGCTTCCTCTGCTGTGCCTTGCCACACAGCTCATATTTAACCACAGCTGAATTACCAACCAGATTCTATGACATACATTTTTACATGCCCCCGTTGACAGAAAAGCATCTGACCTGAAAGAAGTTGTAAGTCAGCACTTGTCCTGGTTTTGGCTGGGATAGAGTTAGTTTTGTTCTTAGTAGCTAGAACAGTGCTGTGTTTTTGATTTAGTATGGGATTTGGTAGGACAGGAATGTTGATAATATACTGATGTTTTCAGTTGTTGCTAGGTAATCAAGGACTTTTCAGCTTCCCATGC